AACATGGACAGCTGATACTTACTCCTTATGTACCATAAGAACCAGGAGAAACCAAATGACAGAATTCTAGAGAGGTCAACAGAAGGAGGTAATTTTCCACTCTGGCCAGTTCCAGAGACAAGAGAGCAGGCATGGTGAGCCTGACTGTTAATTGCACCGGTCTTTTAGGTCTGGGGTTTTTCCTCCCTCAGGGGTGAGCAGCCCCGGGAGCACTAGGGAGAGCTCCGCCGTGGTTTGTGGTGTGGTGGAACAGGAGGGACAGCATTGCTTGAGAGATGCCCCAAAGATTAGAGGCTCTGGCCTGACTCAGGCCCCCGTGACTCACCTGAACACCCAGATTGCCATGGAAGCTGTGGAGAGCTCCTGAGGCCGACTCTAGCGCCAGCAATCAACCCTGGCTCTGCAGGATGCTCTCCCTCCCTGCCACCCACCCAGACAGTGAGTGTCACACGCAGCTGGGACTCACACACTGCTCAGAGACCCCGACACAGCGTGAATCTCAGCAACTTTACTTCCATACATGCTTCAGGTTTCATTTTGTGTTTCCTCTTTCTCTCTTTTGCTGTCCTCCCCAGGGATGCCTGCCTGTGATCCTCAGTACCACACACATCCCCACCAACCCAAGGTGTATTAACACACACAGAATGTGAAATCCAAGTGAAAGGAAGAGTCCACAGAACAAATCTCATGGTATTTGGATTGCTCATGGGCTAAACAAGGTAAGACATCCTCAGGTTAAGTACTGAGCTGGAAGAAAAGCCCCTGCCCTGTGACAGCACTGCCCAGCTGGCCTCTGCCGTGGCGCTGCTCCCTGGGGACCTGGCCCTCCACTCCCACACTCTCCAGAACACTTCCATGCTGTGGGACACTGAGCTGGAAGGAATTGTCTGGAAAACAGGCCCCTGCCTATATCAAAGGCCTTCCAGAACAATTGGCAGCCCCTGTCCAAAGCCTTGTGGCACCACACCTCGTGCAATCTATTATTACTCTTTAAATAGCCCCAAAATGTTGGTTTTTCCTTTCCTGTAAACTGCCAATTACTGACAGAAATACTGGGCTTCTCTCGACTTCTCCAGGGTTAATCTTTCTTTCCTTGCTCATGCCTGCAGTGTTATATTGTCACTGGGAACTGAGCAACAATTAACAATTTATGTTTTGTGGGAGCTTGATTCAACTTGGCTTATAGCTTTTTTTCTATGACATTCTCAACAATACATTATAAAATACTGACATATTTTTAAATAGTTAATCTTTTACTAGTTTTCTGTGTTCTGAACCATGCTCAGCCCCCAGCCATTTCAATAATGCTTCAAGGAAGGTATATACTGAGAACACAGAGGCAATTATGTTAGTCCAACAGCAACCTGATAAAATATTAACATTTCTTATGAAATTTTTCCAGAAGGAAGGAAAAAAATCATCACTAGCGAGAAGCTTTGCAGTGGGAAAAGCCTTTTTTCAGCAAAAAATTGTTAAGTAACACCATTAAATATTGAACGATGCTGAGGTGTGTCTGTATACAGCCTCATTTCAGCCCAGTGTGATGCAGATTTTATTTCCTCCTCTGCAGAAATCACGAAATCCTGTTTTAAACCATGATGGAAGAGCCAATCAGATAAGATTTGTACCTTTCCACTATACTTTTATGATTTGTTAAGTTCACTGGAATGAGTAATACAGTGTGAATAGAACATTTTAAATACCCCTTGGCAGTCACTGAAGTACAGTAATAATTTAAAAGATACAGGAATCACCAAACTCCATGTGCAGCTGGTGCCACATCAAACCAAAGGGAGCACTGTCTGGGTGATTTTCACCTCTGCACTCCCATTTTGCATTTCACCAGAGCTGTTGAGAATAAATAAATAATAAATTGAACAGCAAAAAGCAAGTCATTCTGGGCAGCCTCTGGCAGCAGTTTGCTCTCTTAATGCTGTTTGGTGAGCTGGAAGCATCCAGCTCATTTCCTAAAGAGCATTTTCTGCTTAGGTCGGGGCTCTATTAATCTGTTCAAGCCAATTCTCTACAATCCAAACCATCTGTATTTGGGAAGATCGTGGTTTATTTGGATTCTCTTTGTGTCTGCTGTCAGGAGATGATTAAAAGTACGAGGGATTTAGAGTGTAAAGTCTCTCTACTGGCCTGTTACAGTGACCTTCTAAGTAGCATCTCCCAATATTTGGGTAACAGCTGGTACAGTTAAGTCCAGCAGGGAAACAAAGAGCAGCCACGGTTGCTGGAAATGGCTGAGCTTTGGCAGTGCAGAGAGGCTGCGAGGAGAGGGCATGGCTGAGCTTTCAGGGTTTCACCAGGGGTTCCGCTGGCAGCTCCTGAAGGCTCCTCGTGAAACACACAGCAGTGTTCAGGTAGCACTTTTGTCTCAGGAGTTTCTAGGGAAGCAGTGAAGCAGTCCCTGGAGATGTGGAGCCATCGCTCCACACTGTCCCCATGTCCCCATGCCCATCCAGCCCCTGCTGCTGAGCGGGGGCAGCTGCTGCTCCTCCAGGCAGGGGTGCTGCATCCCCCACTGCTGCTGCTCCCCTCCTGCACAGGTGGATGGAAAACTGCCAGCCCCAAACACGCTAAATCTATTTTTCTCAGAAAATTGTAAATAATTCATGGGGCTTGGTTCTATAAAGAGGCCAGTTATAAATCATCCGAGCTGCACCTGGAGATTTCTGATGTCGGCATTATCACATGAATTACATCTCTCCAGGGCCATCTATTACTGTAAACACAATTCCAAAGAGGAGTTATGCATGTGACATGCAGAGGCAAACAAACAAGCAATCTTCAGCCTGGATTTGATACTAAAGCTTTGCAACCCAACTGAGCTGTTAGAGGTGCTAATTTTCTGCTCTGGCCTCAGAGTTCCCTCCACCCTGCTCCTGTACAGGTGTACTTTTCCCTGGGGAGCACCTGTAGGTGGGAATGCGGGTGGACTGTACACCACCAGCAGCCCAGTGCGGTGAGGTGCAAGGGAAAAGCCATGAATGTGACTTTAGAGAGACATGAACATGTGCTGCAGAAAAGATCTGGATTCTGAGACTTCCATGTATCACCACCTTTACCTGCTGGAATTACAGTCCAGTTACAGATGTTGAATTACAACAACTGTTTCTTTTTCATTCTGCCCTTCAGAAACCAACATTCTTAGATAGGAACATGTAGGTTCCTGATGGTTTCTACCTCCTGGTGTCGGCACAGAAAGATATGGGAGGCAAAGAACTGAGGTGTGTTTGTGGACTGAATGAGAGGACTCCTGAAATCCTGGTTTTCCATGGCATCCAGGGGATGAGAGCTGGCGGAGATGCTTCTGTTAAAGCAACCAAGTAGGTGAGTGTAAAGCAGGGGGCCAAAGCTACATGCAGAGCTGGGGATGATCTGCTGAGCTTGGAACAAAGAGGAATCAAAGGGAATGTATCTTGAAGAGAGGATGTGGAGTGAGGCCGGTGCCAGGTGCTCCTGTGGGCTCCACCATGCCAGGGCTGGCCTCGGCCAGGCAAACAGGAGCAGTCTGGCCGTGCTGCTGGGGAGCCCCTGCCCAGCCCAGCCCCGCCTGCATCACGTGTGTTTATGGCCAGGAGGGACCGGGCCAGTGCAAAGGCTGATGTCTCCCCCGGCTGGACTTTAACAGCTCCGAGGCGCTGCTGCCTGGGCAGAGGTCACATCCTTCCTGCCCCGCAAAGGGCTTTGGAAAGGCTGGCAAAACACTCTGGCCTACAGTCTGCTGTGGGGTCTCTCCAGAAAAAGGGATCTCCTTGTTCCCGTTCTGCTCGGCTCTGTGGAACAGAAAGAGGCTCAAAGCACCTGAGCACACAGGGGCAGGCTGCTGAAGCCAATGGCACTTGTCTAAGTGCCCAGAACAGCCCTGTGTTGGGCTGCGGTGACACATCTGTCCCGTGCCAGTAGCCTCACGTGCCTTTGATAACACATTGTGCACGTAAAGGTAAATGTGGCAGAGCATAAACGTGTCTGGGCACCGGTGCCATGGAACTCCCTCAACAGCCTCCACTTAAGCACCACCGTACTGCCAGGAGACAGCGAGAGATCATAAATGGGAGATTAGCACAGGGAGAGGCACGGCTGGGGACAGAGCCAGCTCAGGGGCACAAACCAAATCAAAACCTCATGCAGAGCTAAAGCGGCACTTGATTTTGCCCAGAAGTGCCCTCACTCCAAGGGCGCACGGTGTTTTGTTTCCCTAAAACTTGTGATGGGGAGGGAAGAAATGCCACAGTGAGCGACCACCTCCGACTGCTCTGGAGAGCCGCGAGCAGCGGGGGCTTCGCTCCTGCGCATCCCGGGCTCGCACCGGGACACGGCCCGGGACAGGGGCTGCTGCCCGCAGGGGGACACGGCCCGGGACACGGCCCGGTCCCGCACGGGGACGCGTCCCGGGACACGGCCCTGTCCCACACGGGGAGCGCTCTCGCGGTCCGGGCCCAGCGGCGCCGCTCCCGCCCACTGGGGGGCGCCACCCACACGCTCCCGCTGCCCCCGCGCGCCAGCTCCGCGCGCATTCCTCGCGCGCGCATCCCTCGCGCCCCCCTTTCTTCCCCCCCCCCCCCCCGCGCGCGCATCCCTCGCGCCCCCTCACGCGCCCCCTCACGCGCCCCCTCACGCGCCCCCTCACGCGCCCCCTCACGCGCCCCCTCACGGCTCCTCCTCGCGCCCCCTCACGCCCGTCCCTCAGGGCGGTGCGGGAGCGGAACGGGGCCCCTCCCGCGCTTTGTGCCGCGCCCCGCCCGCCGCCGTTGGGCCGGCCCGGCGCTCTCCCCGCCCCGCCGGCGCTCCCCGTCCCTGCGGCCGCGCTCAGCCCCGGCCCGCGGCGGCGGCGGCAGCGCGGGCGGCCCCCGGCGGCCCCGCCCCCGGCCCCTTTCCGCCGGGCTCGGCTCCCGGCGTCTTCCGCCGCCCGCGGGCCAGCGGCGGCAGCAGGAGAAGGCGGCGGCGGGGGCGAAGGCGGCGGCGGGCGGCTCGGCGGGCCCGGGAGCGGCTCCATGGCGACCGCGGCGACGGAACCCGTGTACGGGCTCTCGGAGGACGAGGTGGGTCGGCGCGGACGGGCTGGGTTGGGGTGTGCCGGGGCCCCCTCCGCGGGAGCCGCGGCTGAGGTTCGGGAGCTGGGCGAAGGTCGACGGTCGGTCCGGGAGGGCAAGCGTTGCCCGCCCCTCGGGGCTTCGCGCCCCTCCCGCAGCGGCCACTTGCCCGGGGGCGGCCCGGGCCGGGGAGCGCTGCCCGCACCCCAGGCAGGTGCGGCCGCCCGGAGCCCGCGGGTGCCTCGGTGGGGCCGGCGCCGAACAAAGAGCCGCGGCCGGCGGTGCTGCGGGCGGGGGCGGCCGCCCCTCTCCGCCTCCTCCCCGCAGCGCTGCCGGTGTCCCCAGGGGAGCGGCCGCGGGACCGGAGCGGAGCAGCCGCCGGGCCGGTGCGCCGGGTACTGTGTCAGACACAGCCTGGCCCCAATGCAGATGGAGCTGATAAGCGGGGTAGGACCCGCGATAACTAATCACCGCGTGCCGGCTTTATCAGCCGATGTCTTCTGCAGAATCAAGCAAACCATACAGGCATTAGGAGAATAGTCCAGTTTACTTTAGGTGAATGTTAAAAATCTTACTTAATGCCCTTTTTGTTTCATTGCCTTGGTCAGGTGCTCCTTTTCTTAGGAGCCAGTGTCATAGAGCATCAGCAATGGGCAAGGCTGCATTATGGGCTGTGGTTTCAGGGTATCGGTTGTTAGGAGTGCATGTATATCTTTTATTTTTACAGGCGTGAATAGTAATTATAACAGCATTGCTTCCGGTTTTGTGGGAAAACTGCCCACTGACACTGGTGATGTGTCAGTCTGTATGTAGTGTAGAAGAAACATTAAAAACATCCTCTGCCTTGTGGAACTGACAGTGTTTCTTACCTGGGGTATTTCAGCGGCACCGGGTCTGGATGACTGTAATGTTTAATTCTCATTGGGAAGGAGGTTCCTGGGCAGGAGTGGGTGTTTTGGTAAGGGGGGGGGGGGGGGTGTCATTCTGTTGTTGTTAAATTATAAAGCTGAGAGCAGAGTGATTGCAAATGCTCTGCGTGTGTGTGAAGGTAGGGGAGAGGAGAGGGCGTTGCAGGAGCATTGGGTGATGTAGATAGCGAGCACAACGGCAGAGGAGAACCTTCTCCTCCCTGGGCTGTTTCCATAAGCCTTCGCGTGAGCACAGCGGTGGCTGGCAGCAGTCCCCAAGCAGCTTTGGGCCAGCTCCGGTGCATTGCCTCACCCTGCAGGTAGCTGGGCCCGCTGCTGGGCCATCTGCAGGGCCCTGCTTGCTCCGGGGCTGCCGGGGGGCCTGCAGCAATCCTGTCAGGTCCTGGGCTCCAGAGGGCCTGTGGTGATCTTGCCTGCTGCTGGGGGCTTTGCACACGCTTAGGGAACAGCTAAAGGCAGTGGGGTTTGCTGTCCCAGAATGGGCATTCCAAGACATTTGGTTGGAGGTGCTTTTGTGCTTATATTAGCAAGTGTGATCTGTGAGGAGAAGGGAAGCCTGGAGCCACCCTGCCAGGTCCCAGGGAGGTGGCTGAGAACATCACGCTGGAGCTTGGCTGCTGCCTTTTCTGTTGTGCGTGCGCTTGGCTGTGTCTTTTGTCCCTGCCTCCTGCCTCGACATATGCTGGTACTTGCACAGAATGCTAAAGAGAAATGGATACAGGGAGAAATCTGCTGGCTGCTCTCACCTTGGCTTGGAGGTGGAGGGATCTTGGGACAGCAGGGGCTGTTCCTGCTATGATGCTCAGCCCCAGCAGATGCTGGGGACTTGGCCTGTGGAGCAGTGGGCAAGGAGATGTGGTTTTACCTCCCGAGGCAAAACCAAGCTGTTAGAAAATGAGCTGCTGGGAAAAGAAAGGCTTTGGTCTCTCAGCAGTGACCAATGTCACAGCTGCAGTGATGACCACAGCCACACTGCCTGAGGGACAGCAGACTGTGCTTTGTCTCCAGCTTTGCTGTGCATCTGCTGATGCTGGACGCTTCTCAGGAAGAGCAGTGACCATCTAAAACTACAGTGGGAGTCCACAAATGGAAATAGGATGGAAGAAAGAGGGAAAAGGGTCTGAGGGAGGGGCTGGCATGGAGAAGGGTGCAGGTGATCCTCACAGCCTGTTGGGCTGTAGTTTCATGACCCTGAGAGCCTGACCCACTGTTGAGTCTCTAGTAATGGGCAGAGGAGAGCACGGAGGGAGGGGAGGATGGTCTCTCTCAGGAAGGTGGCTGTATGAAAGCTCTAGTGAAGGGAAAGCTCAAGTGGGCTGAGGAAGGTGTGCTGACAGTTCTTTGCATGCTGGCCTGTGGGTAATGACTTCCCTCTAGCATTGGCCTGGACTTGGCTCATCATTTTTTGGAAAGCAGAGCTCTATCAGCCGTGAGAGAGCTGTGAGAGGCTGAGTTACGTACGTGGACATATTCAGCCTATTCATTTCCTTTGTTCCTGCCTGGGTTTGAAGTGCAGTTTGCAGATCTGTTGTAGATGGGTTTTGGAGGGCTTTGAGTTGGCCTCGCACAATGCTTCCACTGCTGGCACATTTGCCGATTGGAAAATGCAGTGATTTACATGCGAGCCGGACTCGCTGAGTGGCTCTCCAGAGAGAGAAGCAGCAGTCTCTCCTGCAGAGCAGAGGCACAGCTTCCCTCCCGCTGCACAGCTGGTGTGTGTGCTAGGCGTGGAGCAGGCCCGGGCTGCGTGTGCCGGCGTGCCTGCAGATGTGGGCCTGCACTCGTCCCTGTGCGCGGGGCTGCCTTCCATGTCAATGTAGCTTCCTTTTGCCCGAGGACTCTGACAGGTGTTGGAACACTAGGCCTTTTGGGGATTTGGGGATCACTGAGTCACAGGGGATGAGCCAACTAGTGCAGTTTTTCATGGCAGATGATGTTGTGTTCATAGATCGGCCTCCTTGTAAACCTGAACCGTAAAGTGTTTTATATTAATTAGTTAAAATGAGTTGTAAATCAGATTCATACCCTGCCAATTTTTCACTCTTGGGATGACCTCAGCACTGGGCCAGGCTGCTCAGAGGCTGTTGGAGCTCCATCCTTGGGGCTGTTTGGGACCGTTGGGACACAGGCCTGGGCAGCCAGCTCTGGCTTAAGCAGGGGTGGGCCAGGTGACCTTCAGAGGCTCGTGCCAACCTCAACCTCTTTGTGATTCTGTGAAATAGTATTTATACGGGCTCCTGGAAGCTTAGGTACTTTCATGCAATCTCTAAATATCAGTGTATATAAAAACTTACAGCCCTTTGTAGTGGAAAATATTTGTGAATGAAGTGCACCTCTTGTTTGTTTCAGTTTGGGTTTCTTGAGAGTCAGATGTTGCCCACACAAATCCACAAACATTTTGCTTTCTGAGTGTCCTTGGATGGAAGCAAAACTTGCAGCTCCTTGGAACTTGTTTGCTTTAAAGAAAGTGGAACTTCAGAAAAAAGATCCTTGAAGAGTGTCTTTCTATACTTTAAAATATTAAGAGGAAAAGAGGTTCATATGTGAAACTGCTCTCTGCAGTTCCAGCATTCTTCTCTTTGAGTTCTGTTCAACTTCTGTGACTTGTGATTGAGTCAATTGGAATTAGAAGCTTCCTACTGAGATGACATTTTGTCATGCCTTAGAATTTGTCAAAAGGATCTTATGTTCCTGAAAATATCTCAATGTGTGAGATACAATCCCATATGCCTCAAGATAAATAATTCTGTGTGTAGTCACTGTAGCCTAACCTTTCATCACTGTTCTGGTGTGCTGTGCTGGGCAAAGCCTTGTGCCTGAAGAGTGAATCCTGAAGGATTTCAGGACCTCAGGAGCCTGTGCTTCGCTTTACTGAGACACACTTTGGGGAAAGGGAAACAAACCCAGCTCTGAGTATGATGGAAATGGTTCCTATGGACAGGAGAGCACAGGCTCACCTGTACTGGATCTGGCATCAAGGTAAGGAGTAAGCCAGGATTTGCTACAGTGGTGCTGTGGTGAAATGCAGCTCGTGCTGTGAGGGATAAACTGTCTGTAAACTGTTTGAGACTGAGGCATATGGGAGGTTGGCTTTTGTGCCTCATGTTTACATGTTCCTGATGGATTTGTTGCTCTGGAATGATCTCCCTTGAGGGTGTCTCTTTCCCAGTAGTCGAGTATCATGTTAACAGATCCATGGGATGGGGCTGCAAAGGCCTCAAGAAGGTGTTATTGCTCATTATCAGCAGGATTTACTGGGGAGGAAAAGGGCTGTGATTTTCCCTCCCTCCCTGGACTTGGTGACAGCAGTGACATGTGGGAGTTCAGGGCCGGATCTCTCTACTTTGCATTTGAAGCAAACTATAAACTTTGGGAGTAATGGCAATGCTGAGTTGTTTGGGCAGTGTCAGTGTTGTAGATGGTTGCAGTTAGATTTTGGGTGATGTTCTCTGTTGTGTGGTCTCACGGTGAGGCTCTACCTTGCAGCTCACCCGGCTTCCGCGCTGTGCTGGCATGGCCAGAGATGTTTGCTGAGCCCAGGCTGTCCCCACGGAGCCCCTGCCAGGACAGGTGCTGGGGAGGGGTTCCAGAGCCACATCCCTTCATTCCCAGCTCAGCTCCTGGGGCAGCACTGGAGCTCCGGGTGCTGTGGCACTGGAAGAGTGCTGCATGAAGGACCAGGGCACTGATGTGCTGGAGAAGCAGCTTGTGGGTGGCTGTGGCTCCTCAGCTGTGAGGTGGAAAGGGGCAGTGTGGGGGGGCCAGTCTGCCCAGGGATGTGGCCCTGGCCCCATGAGCTCCTGCCCAGCCCACTGTGTTCTTGAAACCTGGAGGCTTTATGTGAAAATACCCTTGAGTTCCTTGAGAAGATGCATCCTTTGTCACCACCACTGCACAGACCCTTTAAATGAGAGCTCTGTTGTTTCTGCTCTGAATATTTCAGTTACATAAAAGCTTCACTGTGCCATCTGAGTGTGAGAGGGGCCTCCCTTGGTCACAGCACTGACAGTGTCTTAGCAATAAGCAATTCAGAATAGTGACTTTTTTATTGACCCCGAATTGTTTTTATAGACTCTAAGT